TAAAATTTAGCTATTCGTCGGGGTTGTTTTTTCCATTTGCTATGGTAATCCCTAGTGTTGTTAAACTTCATTTGACAAACAATTGTTTCACTGTCTACGTTAACAGAAACATTTTCAACACATTTGTTCAATATGTTTCGTATTATTAATGTATTATTAACTTAATTCAAAACAGTGGTATTGATACTAAAGTTTTTGAACTTATTATTCAATTGATAGTGGGTAATGTACCAATTGTAAAGTGTTTGTAAATGACAACAGACTTTACATACTATATACACACCTTAAGGTAAAGGAATATTATAAATGATGCATTTTCATATGAAACTGCCAAAAATATAATTTGCTCTTTGATCATTATCAAAGGAATGTGATTTAACATAGTAAAAAGTAGTTATTTCAATAAATCTGAAAAATAAATTTGTAGCACATTGTCTCATGTATCTAAACAGTCATGTAAAGGTTGCAAATTTCTCATATATGTCAATTATATATGGTTTTGGAAATTAGATTCATTTTTTTATCATTTCAAATGTGGTTATCATACATTAATACCATTTTGATTATTTGACAATAATAATAACCTTGTTCAATTACAGGAAACAACATATACACAAAATAAAAGCATGATCTAGTAACGTTAAGTCAAAACATTGATGCAAGTATCTGGAAAAAAACCAGGTACCTGTTTAATTAAGGCAAATTTGAATGTTGCGAAGAATCCCTATTTTTCCGTATCTCAGACACAGTTGCATTAAGAATTCAGTTATTGTTTGTATAATATGATATATTTAAATTGATATCTGATAAAGTTTTAACATTGCTAAGGAAGCATCAACATGAGCATAATCATTGATTGTTTTACTGTTTTTGGTACGATAAAAAGATATTTTTAACTGGCCAATCATGTAACTGCACTCCTGGCTTGTGTTAACCTATGTGTAAGTTATTCTAAAAATAGTCACACATCACTCTTAGCATTACTTGTCATATCCATTCTCTACGCTTATCCCATGTTTACGAAGAAATAGGACTAGAAGACTTCTAAAATGGTAAAGTACTCATATCAACTTATCTCAAATGAATGCTTATAAACATGATCATTGATTGTTTCCTACTTTGAGTACGCTAAAAATATTTAAACAAGTCAAACCAACTACACTCGTGAAATATGTTGACCTAGATATAAGTCATTACAATATTCTAAAAATAATCACATTTCTCGGAGCATAACTGGACTTGTATTCCATGTTTAAGTGAAAAGGTACCAGACATCTTCTAAAATGGTAAGATTTTCATATCAACTTGTTTCCAATTAATGCAATTTGTCTAATTACATCTTAAATAAGGGCGCGTCATGTAAAGAAATATAGCGACACTTGCTGAAAAGGACACTATTATACATGCCTTAAGTAGGGCTTTCTCTGGTTATATTTGTTCTAGCAAGAAATATTAACATAAAAAAATAAAAAATAATTACTATAATTGATTCTTAAAATGAATCACTAAACCTTGACCGAGCAGTAAAACAAGTGTGTGATCTTTACGCTTCGTGTTATGATTCAATAGAAAGTTCGATGTGGTGTACAATTTCCGTGTGGTGGATCTGAATTAAATTTTGATATTTCAAAATGAATGCCTTTACAAATGTTATTGAAGATATTTGTCTCCCTTTTGTAAAAACATGTTTTCCAGTTAAAGATATTACTTTCATTAAATCTTTGGCGTCGTTTTAATCACCTTTTTTACCAAACCTACTAAGAATCGATGACCCCATTTTAAGAAGCTGATGGAAAATTAAAATCACCAAGAAGGGTTTTATGTGACCTTTTTGAACTTTCTACTGCTTGCAAAGACATGATATTCCTTTAACAATAAAGGCAAGATAATGTGGCAATTCATTTATTATCTTTTTAAGATTTTAAATTACACACATTGACTTGAAAAGTAGAGCAACTCAAAATAAAGAAGTAAAAATGTGAAAGAACTCATCTACATTCCAAGGAATTTTATTATTTGGGTTATACTAAAATATAATGTAGACAAATGTTAAAAGTCTTACATGAATTATTACATAAATTCTTTTAAAATAAAGCATACATGACAATATTTTGATTTGACAACTAAGCATAGCATTGGTACACAATTTTGTTTTTTAAGACAAAACGTCCAAAAAAGAGTGTCATTTCCATTTTCGTATAAAACTGAACTTGATATATTTTCTATAACGTGTAGACTACTGAAGGTTTATTCAAATACACACGTCGTGTACATGGAAAATGCACATGATCTTATAGCAAATTAGTACTTTGTTGAACATATAAATTCCTGAATCGATTATTTTAACGATATTCCCAAAACAACCCCACGAATAATTATGTAATAAACGTAACATTGAAGACAAAATATTGTTTTTCGTTCTAAAAAGTAGGATAAGCTATGCATATGCATAATCGCATTGCCAACTATAGCAACTGTCTCATATTTTGTACAAATCATATGCGACCTTTAATTGTTTTCAAATGTTTACCGTCAAGGAAAACAAACTGAAAAAAGTTCATTAATTTGTACATCAGGCCGTTAGTTTTCTCGTTTGAATTGTTTCATATTTGTCATTTCAGGGCTTTTTATAGCTGACTATGTGGTATGGGTTTTATTCATTGTTGAAGGCCGTATGGTGACCTATAGTTGTTAATTTCTGTGTCATTTTGTCCCTTCTGGAGATTTGTCTCATTAGCATTCATACCATATCTTCTTATTTTTATATGTATGTTTTCCATTTCAGTTTTAAGACTTTCTATTCGTATTCAAAAGAAAAAATAACAAACGTATTTTGTACATTTTTTTAAGATATTTCTGATCAGCTTCGTTGTATTTTATTATTTGTAATTCCTTAGTTACGAAGGAGTCGGATGTTTGTTGTTGGTTTGGATATGTTGTTAACACTCATATCTGGTATTCCCGTTACTGGTTTTATGCATTAAATCAAAATAGTACAAGGATGAATAAAACAAGAATTTTAAAGGTAATATATATTGAGAAAATTCTCTGAACAGCCAACGTTGCTTGAACTGTTTACGTTTTCTCTACAAGTATGTTTCAAACCTTAAGTGACTAAAAACAGCAAAAATCGTCTATCATTAATTTGCAATATTAGTTTTAATGATATTATATTATTTTTCTTAAAAACATGGAATTTAGCAAATGATAATATCATTTGAATAATGTCAGAACGAAGCACATGCTTCTTGTTTGGATGTACTTTCAGAGATTGATTGAAAAACAAAATGACCCTAAATAGTAAAGACGATTACTTTAATCAATTTCGCAAGGAGGTTTCGACATTACCTTAGTTTTAACACAATTTCATAATTAAATAAAATTGAGAATGGAAAAGACGGTTTGGCATTTATTTTTCAAATAACACTCACACCAGGAAAGCGCTTCGTACGAATGAAATTTATAACGTGTTGTTTTCATATTTTTTCTAACTTTCATACTTATTCTATAGTAGCATTTTGTATCGCCTCTTACAAATACTTCAATCAAAAAGAAAATTCAAGAATGTATTTTTCAAACATTGTTCACGACATGTTTATAATGTTCCTAGAACAAAGATATGACCGGCTTTTAAAACGTTAAATTGGAAAATCGTACAGACTTAATGCATTTTTATTAAACATGACTTAACTATATTCTTATGTTGCTGTTACCTAAGAATATATGTGGTATGGTTCTACCACAAAACTCTCCAAACATAACAGCAATAATTTATATAAACATCTATTTTACAGGCTCATTGTAACAAAGGAAACAAACGCAAAACCGGAGGGGATAAACATCATTTACAAGGATCAGATGACATGGAAAATAGAAATACCTCGAGGGATGTTGATGTCAATCTGCCACACCGAGTATTTAAATTAGGTCAAACCGTAGCCGACTTTGAAGATTTTGACTTCATACCAATTCATTCAAGTGCAGAGAGTAAAACCATTCATCTTACCATTAAAGTTATAAAAACACTCTCTTAAAGAATTTAATTGAAAACACTATAGTTCAGATGTTAAATTAAAAGATGAATGTGATAATAAATTATATATATATATATATATATATATATATATATATAGGTAACAATGTGACACTTCTTTGTTTAATAAGTTGTTGTAATCCTTTAAGGTGCTGTGTGGAAGTCCATCTGCATAAATCGTTTACAATGCAAGCTCTGACCCTCGTATCTCGATTATATACCTCGTAAATGAAATAATGTCAAACAGTATGTGTTATAATCATATGAATAAAGGGAGACGTGGGATTATAGTTTAGACATTAAACAAAGACAGAATCAAACCAAAAAGGACGTTCAGAAGACAACAATATGGTTTTCAACAAGAAACAAGTTAGATGTAATATGTCAAACTATAAACCGTTTTGGCAATGTTTTCTGAAAAATCATTTTGCAGTGTCCAGTTCACATTATTGATTTGCTGAGACATTTTGTTTATTATAATGATGGGATGAGATACAACTCATTTGCCTTATTTCCCATTTGTGTATTTTGATTTTGATTTTTGCAGGAAATAGGGTAATTAAAATTCCTTTTTAACCTATTTTACTTATTTATCTTATTTTTTCTGAAAATCGAAGTATTACTTGTATGTCAATCTAAAGAAATGATTGATATAAAACCATATGCAAATTGACAAATAAAATGTATTATGATCGGCAAAAGTACACATGGTGCTTTTACCAAGCAGAGTCGGTGAGCCTGACCTATGATCCTTGCGAAAAAAACCTTGTCAAGTGTTGTATTTTGTAATGTCTAAATGCTCTTTCGTCATTTCGGGTAATATGTTTACATATTGCAAAAACACCTTTATATTATTGTAATGACTCAATTAATAAGTCTTCACGTGCATATAAAAGAGCGAAACCAACAATGTACACACACGAAAAAGTGGAAGGTATATTGCAAGTACAAAATTATTTCAACTTACAGTCAGATATGCCTATAAAAACTCTATATACTGTATATTTGTTGTTTTCAGTCAATTCTGACAGAAGTATTAATTTATAATCCAAGTGTCTCCAATGAATAAGGAAAATTCCAAGTTCACCGTTTGATGATTCCGATAATTAAGAATTGTTCCAAACAGATTGTCAACAAATATTCAACAAATAGTCAGGATATATTCCATAGATAAGCGTGTTTGCTGTTAGAATAAATGTCCAAAGATAATAAATCCATTGATGAATATATCGTATCTGCAAAGTAAAGATACAAAATAATATTAAAAACTGGAATTGAATATGTTCTCTGAGTTTTTCCTTATGTACTGACCAAAATAGATATTTGTAGTATTCTCATTTTATTTGTGCCACGTGTGGAGCAGGATCTTCTTACCCATTCGTAGGACTTGAGATTACATCTGGTTTTGTTTTGGGGTTCTCGCTTCTCAATCTTTTGTTTTTATGTAGTATTTTTTAAAATATATCATTTTCATCATCATACATAAAAAGTATATAGCGTTATCAAAAACCGTATATTGGCCTCAACTTTAATTCATAAGTACGTGCTTTCATTATCCCAATTGGGGCAATATGCGTAATTGATTTTACATAGGCGGTAATGGTAACGTTTTCCTCTGTAGCACAGTCCATATCGTAATCTTGGATATGCATGATGGCTCATTTCGAAGCTGAGACATTTTCACATATGTGGTTAAATTTTCGGGGTACGAAGTGTGATTCATTTTTCCGTAAATTAGCACACCCCGACAATCCTTTCGTGATGCGGCTCCTGGTGGAACAAAAAAAAAACTTTTTTCACACAATAAAATTGAAAATTTAATACTTTGCATACATTTAATAATTGCATAGTTTTTACACATTTATTCTATGGTCCTCTACTTTTCAAATCAACACAAATGGTTAAGCTCAGTCACTTGTTAAAAATAGAAACATGTCCAATATCACTACACAGAGATTTTTTGTTTACGCACAATTTTTGTGTTCCTCAATTTGATACGCATTAGGGAATTGACCCATTTAACAAACTGACCCGAAACCCAAGCAGATGTCTGACAAATTTTACACAGGTTAAGCTTTTGTATGTGCAGTTAAAAAAGCGGAATATTAGTTCATTTGAATGTGTATTTCGCTTTAAATATGATGAAGATATTATTAAAATTGAGAATGGAAATGGGGAATGTGTCAAAGAGACAACAACCCGACCATAGAACAGACAACAGCAGAAGGTCACCAACAGGTCTTCAATGCAGCGAGAAATTCCCGCACCCGGAGGCGTCCTTCAGCTGGCCCCTAAACAAATATATATACTAGTTCAGTGATAATATAGTACGTTTAGTAAAATTTGAAACGTTATATTTAACTTATATTGTAAAATGTACAAATCAAAAGAACCTCTCACATGAATATCAGCGGCAATGATAGAAACACTAACTTTAGTAATGACGGCTGTTATTTGAATAGTCTTCTTTCTGTATATGATAACAAGTAGTAGTAACCCAACCAGTTATGCTAATTTTAAAAATCAGGAAACTGACATTAAGAGGACAAAAACAAGGCATAACAGATACCCTTTGGAAAACCTTTTACAACATAGTTGTTTAATACGAGCTTTAATATAAAAATAAGGAGATCTGGTATGATTGCCAATATGACAACCAACACCCAATTTCAAATGAAGTGGATGTAAGCAATCATTGGCAACCGTACGGCCTTAAACAATGAGACAAACTCATACCGTAAAGTAGGCTATAAAAGGCCCCGGCATAAAAAATAAGAAACAATTCAATTGAGAAAACTAACGGCCTAATTTATAACAAAACAATTTACGAAAAACAAATATGACAGACATGAACTAACGACAACCACTGAACTACAGGCTCCTGACATTGGACAGGCACATAAAGAATGTGGCGGGGCTAAATGTTTGTGAGCGTTCAACCCTCTCCTAACCTGGGACAGTGATGTAACAGCATAACATAAGAACAAAATCTACAAATCAGTTGAAAAAGGCTTAATTCATCAGATCGATACACAGCAGAAAAACATCAAACAAATACACAGACCGGACGTGGCAGGGTATTTATCCATCCCTCATCCCTAACAACAAAAAAGACACCAAGTACAAATCTGACAGTACTGACAGTTACTGACATCTAGTTCAAAGCCAATAACAACTAATAAAAAAAAATTGTATCATTTAAATATGTTTTAGAGACTGTTTGTTTTGTTTCATCTACTTGCTTTTATTCGAACTTATTTATCAATGTCCTTTGGTAACTCCTTTTTTAGGTATTATAACATTATCAATCTTTGTGAGGAGAAAAAATAGTTGTCGGTGGAACACTGTTTTAACTGGTGAAATGAGTTTACGCTTACCGCCGGCACTATTCAAAATTTATAATATTTTAGAAAATAAAATTTTAGTTTGATCAACAAATATTTTATATTTAATTGACAATCAAAGAGTATGTAAGAATATGTTTAAATGCAACACCAAATTATTAGCTGTAGTTTAATCGAAATATTTATTTCCATACTTTCCTTTGTTTGATACACGACTTAATGCCATATTAATTAGTATAGGTGTATCTATTTCTTTTACCTTAAAACTACACATTTCACTAAAAGTGATTTAAAAGTCCTTACTTGTAGATCTCCAGACGATATGCAATGATAAGTCTTGCATGTTAAGATTTGAGTTATCGCTCTTTAAACGCGGTTCAAGAAACAAATTACAATAATGAAGGCATCACCGAATAAGATTATATGTTGTCATATGAATATTTTTAGCATGACATAAAATGACTAAATATGGCCATAATATAAAGTTATATCTGTTTTAAGACATAATAATAAAATAATCTCTCCGTACCAAGACTTTGAGTTCTACGCATAAATTTACTGTAAAATAGCTGAAACTAATTATAAACGAGTTGTGTCGGAACGGAAGGCCATTTTTAAAACGGTTTCACTGAAATTTATCTTTTTAATTTTTCAAATGTTAGCTAGCAGTCTCCTCGTTGGTGCCTCCGCCAAAACTATTTCAGCTAAAGTTTATATTATACTGATTTTTTACATTACTTTTATGTCAATTCCAAAACTATAGGTTTTTAGACAAAAAAGTCCTATATATCGTGAACTAGAATGAATAGTCAGAAAATATAAAAAGTGTGTATCTAAATTGGGTGAAGGAATTAGATTGATAAAAAATGGAACGAAAGTTTACCTTTTTCAAGAATGTTAATTCCTTTGATACACGTATATTTTGTTCCATTTAGAAAATTTCATGTTAAAACATTTTACAACCGTGTTACAAATAAATAGGTATGATATTGTCATTAGTCCGTTTTATATATTATAAACTGCTATTTGCTTCCTTAGTTTCACTAAGTGGAGTCTGTCATCAAACGATACAAACAACACGGTTATTGATATTACGTTTATGAAATAAATTCAATGAAATACATTAAAAAATGATCACTCTTTCTCATCTAAGTTTACATAGGCAATTCTATATGTTCTATCAAATAACATAAATTGATTTTCCAAAACTTGTTTCTACTCTCCTTACTCTGGTATTGTTAAAATCAATGGTAGTTTTTTTAAATATTTTAAATTGGCTATTGATTAACATTTTGAAAATGTAAGTTTAAGTTATACCTCTTATTTCAAAATCCTTTGATGTGATTTTTATTTCCGTTGCATAAATGATAAAATTGGTTATTATGAACTTTGGAACATAAATTATGCTATATTTTCAGTTAACTAAAGACATTTAACTAAAAGTGATTTAAAAGTCCTTACTTGTTCACCTTTCTAGACGATATGTTACGGTTAGTCTTGCATTTTAAGATTTGAGTTATCGCTCTTTAAACGGGGTTAAAGAAAAAAGTTACAATAATGAAGGTATCACCGAATAAAATTATAAATTGCCATATGAATGTGTTTAGCATGACATAAAATGAGTAAATATGGCTATAATATAAAGTTAGATCTGTATAAAGAAATAATGATAAAACAATCATAGGTGTTTCTCGTTTCTCGTTTTTTATATAGATTAGACCGTTGGTTTTCCTGTTTGAATTGTTTTACACTAGTCATTTTGGGGTCCTTTATAGCTTGCTGTTCGGTGTGAGCCAATGCTCCGTGTTGAAGGCTGTAGTTTGACCTATATATGTTATCTTTTTATACATTGTGAATTGGATGGAGAGTTGTCTCATTTGCACTCATACCACATCTTCTTATTTATAAAGATTTGAGTTATCGCTCTTTAAACGCGGTTAAAGAAAAAACTAATGAAGGCATCACCTAATAAAATGATACGTTGTCATATGAATGTTTTGGGCATGACATAAAATGACTGAATATGGCCATGATATAAATTTATATCTGTATTAAGAAATAATGAAAATATAATCTCTCCGTAACAAGACTTTGGGTCCTACACATAAAGTAATTGTAAAAAAGCAGCACATAATGATAACTGTAGGTGTGTCGGAATGGAAGGCCATAATAAAAAAGATTTCACCGAAATTTACCTTTAAATTATTCAAATGATAACAGCCTCCTATCGGTTGCCTCCACCTAACTATTTCAGCTAAAGTGTATATTATACTGATTTTTCATATTTACTTTTTATGTCAATTCCAAAACTATAGGTTTTTCAGAAAAACAAGTCCTATATATCGTGAACTAGAACGAATAACCAGAAGATATAAAAAGTGTGTATCTTAATTGGGTGAAGGAAATAGATGGATAGAAAATGGAACAAAAATTTACCTTTTTCAAGAATGTTATTTCCATAGATACACGTATATTTTGTTCAATTTAGAGAATTTCATGTAAAAGCATTTTACAATCGTGTTACAAATAAAAAGGTATAATATTGTCATTGGTCAATTTTTATATATTATATACTGCTATTTGATTCCTAACTTTCCCTAAGTGGTATTTGTTTTCAAATGATACAACCAACACAGTTATGGATATTAGGTTTATGAAATACAAAACAATACATTTAACTAATGATCACTCTTTCTCATCTAAGTTTACATATGCACATCAGTATAGTATACTAAATAACATATATTAATATTCTAAAACTTTAATTTTGAATGAACTATTATATTACATTCTAACAAAATGGATGTGGTTATTTAACTACATTTATTGGGTTTTTCTACTCATCTTACACTTGTATTGTTTAATCAATGGTAGATTTTTTTTATTTTGTTTTTACATTGGTTATTGAATAACATTTTGAAAATATAAGTTTATGTTACACCTCTTATTTCAAAATCATTTGTCGACATTGTAAATTCTCCACTTTTTTTTTATACGATTTTTATGTCCGTTGCATATGTGATAAAAGTGGTAATGATCAACTTGACAACATAAATTATACTATATTTCCATTTATTCTAATAGATGTATTGATTTCTAGCTCAAGTTCATTAAAAGATGGAAACAATATAATATAACTTTTGTTTTAAGCGAAATCAAAGACAACTAATCAGAACTTTTTCTGGTCTTAACAATTGTTTCTCCTCATCTATGGAAGTCAGTCCAGTAAAGAAAAAACCCAAAAAACCCATTCTAGTTCTGAAAAGGTTTTTTCACTGCATATACAAATACAGAAAATAAACAGTTCATGGGTTGGAATCTTAACTGCTGAACAAACTATGCTAGGAGGAGTGGTTAGGTCCGTGAACGTCAAATCCTACGTACTGCTGAATGCAATTAGTTTTGCACGTGACAGGTCATGACTTTGGAGTTTAGAATATATCTGGTTGAGGGTTAGGTTACTGGATAGGTATTGTTTGTGTGCAAAAAAAAAACGATGCGACGATACAAAGGGGACATTCAAAGCTCATAATTTGAAGAGAGACTGACAACGTCATTGCAAAAAAAAACGGATGAAGACGAAAGACAAACAATTGCACAAAACACTAAATAGAAATCTAAAGACCGAACAAGACAAACCCCATCACCAACTTAGTGTAATCTCAGGTGCTCCGGAATAATGTGTAGATGCTGCTCCACCAGTGACACCGTCATGGGTATAACGGTGTTGTTATAAAATATAAATATAGTGTAAAGTGGGGATATCAGGAGTTTTTTTTTTTCAAGATAATTAACATTTGATAATGTGATGTGGGCAACAAATGTCCCCTTAGTAAAGAACATATCGTGATCTGTAACCGTATAAAGAAGGCAACTGAGACTAATTATGCTTAAGGCTGAACACCTAAATTATGTATAGATATTTTACAATTTATCAGATGAGACGGCTGGAAATTACAATGAGGGTAAATATGTATGATGTACTGTAAAGTTCTTTTTTATGACAATTGTTAATTTGGGAAAAAAAACAGCTATTCAAAATATCATTATAATCCTTGTTGGGTGTGTAATTATCATTATTTATAAGAAATTGAGTCCACCTTTTTTTGCCGTTTGGAAGTCATATTGCTTTTGTAAATACTGTGGCTAATTCAATTTGTGATTTTACAAATGTCTGCAAACAAACTTCGTTCACTTGCAACCACGAAATCCACGAAAATCCACGAAAATTTGTATCCCACAAATAATGATGAATCCACAGTATTGGACTCATTTATCCTTTGTCTTAAATATGAAAAAAGCGGTAAAATTTTACTTTTAATGCAGATTATTGAACTTGAAAATAGTCCAACTGGAATGATGAGGTAAATTTGATAACCGGTTCAAGTTTGGAAGTATTGATAATGGTTTCATGTATAGTATTGAAATACAAACAACACTAACAAAGTAAAACTTTAAAAGGTTGATTAAATTAATACTTAATAAATACGTACTATTTCTTCAGCCATTTTGGGAAAACGCCTTTCTTGCTGGTTATTAGAACATCCTTCAACGTTCTTTTCTAGCAAAATGGTAAGTCAAAGCTAATATAAAAGCTGTCATTAAGTTATCTTAACTCCATCCTCACTGATTTAATATATCCTTTGTGATTATAATGAGGTGTTAAAACACACTATGAATTTGAAAATGATATTCCCCGGAACTTTCGGTGTGAATTCGCCATGACTGCAAATTTACTTTGTCATTTTTTTCTACAAAGAAAAAGTAAGAAATGATTAGGAATTGTTACTAAAAGGTTAAAGCAATATGTAAAAATGCCACATAATCTATAAGAAGATATGTCCACCCTGAAAAAAAATATATTCTGTAGTTTATTTTTTATTTTTCATCTCCTGTTTGATTCGACTGAAATATGAATTGTAGGATTGTACATAAAAATGAAACATTAATATTATGTGACCGATGCTTAAATATTTTTTTTAAAGATTTTATAACTAGGAAAAGTTAGGCATATAACATTTTCAGTAAATGAATATTTCAATTTCTCAGGGAAATAGAGCATAGATTTTAAACAATAGTAAAACAACATCATATATATACTAGTTCAGTGATAATATAGTACGTTTAGTAAAATTTGAAACGTTATATTTAACTTATATTGTAAAATGTACAAATCAAAAGAACCTCTCACATGAATATCAGCGGCAATGATAGAAACACTAACTTTAGTAATGACGGCTGTTATTTGAATAGTCTTCTTTCTGTATATGATAACAAGTAGTAGTAACCCAACCAGTTATGCTAATTTTAAAAATCAGGAAACTGACATTAAGAGGACAAAAACAAGGCATAACAGATACCCTTTGGAAAACCTTTTACAACATAGTTGTTTAATACGAGCTTTAATATAAAAATAAGGAGATCTGGTATGATTGCCAATATGACAACCAACACCCAATTTCAAATGAAGTGGATGTAAGCAATCATTGGCAACCGTACGGCCTTAAACAATGAGACAAACTCATACCGTAAAGTAGGCTATAAAAGGCCCCGGCATAAAAAATAAGAAACAATTCAATTGAGAAAACTAACGGCCTAATTTATAACAAAACAATTTACGAAAAACAAATATGACAGACATGAACTAACGACAACCACTGAACTACAGGCTCCTGACATTGGACAGGCACATAAAGAATGTGGCGGGGCTAAATGTTTGTGAGCGTTCAACCCTCTCCTAACCTGGGACAGTGATGTAACAGCATAACATAAGAACAAAATCTACAAATCAGTTGAAAAAGGCTTAATTCATCAGATCGATACACAGCAGAAAAACATCAAACAAATACACAGACCGGACGTGGCAGGGTATTTATCCATCCCTCATCCCTAACAACAAAAAAGACACCAAGTACAAATCTGACAGTACTGACAGTTACTGACATCTAGTTCAAAGCCAATAACAACTAATAAAAAAAAATTGTATCATTTAAATATGTTTTAGAGACTGTTTGTTTTGTTTCATCTACTTGCTTTTATTCGAACTTATTTATCAATGTCCTTTGGTAACTCCTTTTTTAGGTATTATAACATTATCAATCTTTGTGAGGAGAAAAAATAGTTGTCGGTGGAACACTGTTTTAACTGGTGAAATGAGTTTACGCTTACCGCCGGCACTATTCAAAATTTATAATATTTTAGAAAATAAAATTTTAGTTTGATCAACAAATATTTTATATTTAATTGACAATCAAAGAGTATGTAAGAATATGTTTAAATGCAACACCAAATTATTAGCTGTAGTTTAATCGAAATATTTATTTCCATACTTTCCTTTGTTTGATACACGACTTAATGCCATATTAATTAGTATAGGTGTATCTATTTCTTTTACCTTAAAACTACACATTTCACTAAAAGTGATTTAAAAGTCCTTACTTGTAGATCTCCAGACGATATGCAATGATAAGTCTTGCATGTTAAGATTTGAGTTATCGCTCTTTAAACGCGGTTCAAGAAACAAATTACAATAATGAAGGCATCACCGAATAAGATTATATGTTGTCATATGAATATTTTTAGCATGACATAAAATGACTAAATATGGCCATAATATAAAGTTATATCTGTTTTAAGACATAATAATAAAATAATCTCTCCGTACCAAGACTTTGAGTTCTACGCATAAATTTACTGTAAAATAGCTGAAACTAATTATAAACGAGTTGTGTCGGAACGGAAGGCAATTTTTAAAACGGTTTCACTGAAATTTATCTTTTTAATTTTTCAAATGTTAGCTAGCAGTCTCCTCTTTGGTGCCTCCGCCAAAACTATTTCAGCTAAAGTTTATATTATACTGATTTTTTACATTACTTTTATGTCAATTCCAAAACTATAGGTTTTTAGACAAAAAAGTCCTATATATCGTGAACTAGAATGAATAGTCAGAAAATATAAAAAGTGTGTATCTAAATTGGGTGAAGGAATTAGATTGATAAAAAATGGAACGAAAGTTTACCTTTTTCAAGAATGTTAATTCCTTTGATACACGTATATTTTGTTCCATTTAGAAAATTTCATGTTAAAACATTTTACAACCGTGTTACAAATAAATAGGTATGATATTGTCATTAGTCCGTTTTATATATTATAAACTGCTATTTGCTTCCTTAGTTTCACTAAGTGGAGTCTGTCATCAAACGATACAAACAACACGGTTATTGATATTACGTTTATGAAATAAATTCAATGAAATACATTAAAAAATGATCACTCTTTCTCATCTAAGTTTACATAGGCAATTCTATATGTTCTATCAAATAACATAAATTGATTTTCCAAAACTTGTTTCTACTCTCCTTACTCTGGTATTGTTAAAATCAATGGTAGTTTTTTTAAATATTTTAAATTGGCTATTGATTAACATTTTGAAAATGTAAGTTTAAGTTATACCTCTTATTTCAAAATCCTTTGATGTGATTTTTATTTCCGTTGCATAAATGATAAAATTGGTTATTATGAACTTTGGAACATAAATTATGCTATATTTTCAGTTAACTAAAGACATTTAACTAAAAGTGACTTAAAAGTCCTTACTTGTTCACCTTTCTAGACGATATGTTACGGTTAGTCTTGCATTTTAAGATTTGAGTTATCGCTCTTTAAACGGGGTTAAAGAAAAAAGTTACAATAATGAAGGTATCACCGAATAAAATTATAAATTGCCATATGAATGTGTTTAGCATGACATAAAATGAGTAAATATGGCTATAATATAAAGTTAGATCTGTATAAAGAAATAATGATAAAACAATCATAGGTGTTTCTCGTTTCTCGTTTTTTATATAGATTAGACCGTTGGTTTTCCTGTTTGAATTGTTTTACACTAGTCATTTTGGGGTCCTTTATAGCTTGCTGTTCGGTGTGAGCCAATGCTCCGTGTTGAAGGCTGTAGTTTGACCTATATATGTTATCTTTTTATACATTGTGAATTGGATGGAGAGTTGTCTCATTTGCACTCATACCACATCTTCTTATTTATAAAGATTTGAGTTATCGCTCTTTAAACGCGGTTAAAGAAAAAACTAATGAAGGCATCACCTAATAAAATGATACGTTGTCATATGAATGTTTTGGGCATGACATAAAATGACTGAATATGGCCATGATATAAATTTATATCTGTATTAAGAAATAATGAAAATATAATCTCTCCGTAACAAGACTTTGGGTCCTACACATAAAGTAATTGTAAAAAAGCAGCACATAATGATAACTGTAGGTGTGTCGGAATGGAAGGCCATAATAAAAAAGATTTCACCGAAATTTACCTTTAAATTATTCAAATGATAACAGCCTCCTATCGGTTGCCTCCACCTAACTATTTCAGCTAAAGTGTATATTATACTGATTTTTCATATTTACTTTTTATGTCAATTCCAAAACTATAGGTTTTTCAGAAAAACAAGTCCTATATATCGTGAACTAGAACGAATAACCAGAAGATATAAAAAGTGTGTATCTTAATTGGGTGAAGGAAATAGATGGATAGAAAATGGAACAAAAATTTACCTTTTTCAAGAATGTTATTTCCATAGATACACGTATATTTTGTTCAATTTAGAGAATTTCATGTAAAAGCATTTTACAATCGTGTTACAAATAAAAAGGTATAATATTGTCATTGGTCAATTTTTATATATTATATACTGCTATTTGATTCCTAACTTTCCCTAAGTGGTATTTGTTTTCAAATGATACAACCAACACAGTTATGGATATTAGGTTTATGAAATACAAAACAATACATTTAACTAATGATCACTCTTTCTCATCTAAGTTTACATATGCACATCAGTATAGTATACTAAATAACATATATTAATATTCTAAAACTTTAATTTTGAATGAACTATTATATTACATTCTAACAAAATGGATGTGGTTATTTAACTACATTTATTGGGTTTTTCTACTCATCTTACACTTGTATTGTTTAATCAATGGTAGATTTTTTTTATTTTGTTTTTACATTGGTTATTGAATAACATTTTGAAAATATAAGTTTATGTTACACCTCTTATTTCAAAATCATTTGTCGACATTGTAAATTCTCCACTTTTTTTTTATACGATTTTTATGTCCGTTGCATATGTGATAAAAGTGGTAATGATCAACTTGACAACATAAATTATACTATATTTCCATTTATTCTAATAGATGTATTGATTTCTAGCTCAAGTTCATTAAAAGATGGAAACAATATAATATAACTTTTGTTTTAAGCGAAATCAAAGACAACTAATCAGAACTTTTTCTGGTCTTAACAATTGTTTCTCCTCATCTATGGAAGTCAGTCCAGTAAAGAAAAAACCCAAAAAACCCATTCTAGTTCTGAAAAGGTTTTTTCACTGCATATACAAATACAGAAAATAAACAGTTCATGGGTTGGAATCTTAACTGCTGAACAAACTATGCTAGGAGGAGTGGTTAGGTCCGTGAACGTCAAATCCTACGTACTGCTGAATGCAATTAGTTTTGCACGTGACAGGTCATGACTTTGGAGTTTAGAATATATCTGGTTGAGGGTTAGGTTACTGGATAGGTATTGTTTGTGTGCAAAAAAAAAACGATGCGACGATACAAAGGGGACATTCAAAACTCATAATTTGAAGAGAGACTGACAACGTCATTGCAAAAAAAAACGGATGAAGACGAAAGACAAACAATTGCACAAAACACTAAATAGAAATCTAAAGACCGAACAAGACAAACCCCATCACCAACTTAGTGTAATCTCAGGTGCTCCGGAATAATGTGTAGATGCTGCTCCACCAGTGACACCGTCATGGGTATAACGGTGTTGTTATAAAATATAAATATAGTGTAAAGTGGGGATATCAGGAGTTTTTTTTTTTTCAAGATAATTAACATTTGATAATGTGATGTGGGCAACAAATGTCCCCTTAGTAAAGAACATATCGTGATCTGTAACCGTATAAAGAAGGCAACTGAGACTAATTATGCTTAAGGCTGAACACCTAAATTATGTATAGATATTTTACAATTTATCAGATGAGACGGCTGGAAATTACAATGAGGGTAAATATGTATGATGTACTGTAAAGTTCTTTTTTATGACAATTGTTAATTTGGGAAAAAAAACAGCTATTCAAAATATCATTATAATCCTTGTTGGGTGTGTAATTATCATTATTTATAAGAAATTGAGTCCACCTTTTTTTGCCGTTTGGAAGTCATATTGCTTTTGTAAATACTGTGGCTAATTCAATTTGTGATTTTACAAATGTCTGCAAACAAACTTCGTTCACTTGCAACCACGAAATCCACGAAAATCCACGAAAATTTGTATCCCACAAATAATGATGAATCCACAGTATTGGACTCATTTATCCTTTGTCTTAAATATGAAAAAAGCGGTAAAATTTTACTTTTAATGCAGATTATTGAACTTGAAAATAGTCCAACTGGAATGATGAGGTAAATTTGATAACCGGTTCAAGTTTGGAAGTATTGATAATGGTTTCATGTATAGTATTGAAATACAAACAACACTAACAAAGTAAAACTTTAAAAGGTTGATTAAATTAATACTTAATAAATACGTACTATTTCTTCAGCCATTTTGGGAAAACGCCTTTCTTGCTGGTTATTAGAACATCCTTCAACGTTCTTTTCTAGCAAAATGGTAAGTCAAAGCTAATATAAAAGCTGTCATTAAGTTATCTTAACTCCATCCTCACTGATTTAATATATCCTTTGTGATTATAATGAGGTGTTAAAACACACTATGAATTTGAAAATGATATTCCCCGGAACTTTCGGTGTGAATTCGCCATGACTGCAAATTTACTTTGTCATTTTTTTCTACAAAGAAAAAGTAAGAAATGATTAGGAATTGTTACTAAAAGGTTAAAGCAATATGTAAAAATGCCACATAATCTATAAGAAGATATGTCCACCCTGAAAAAAAATATATTCTGTAGTTTATTTTTTATTTTTCATCTCCTGTTTGATTCGACTGAAATATGAATTGTAGGATTGTACATAAAAATGAAACATTAATATTATGTGACCGATGCTTAAATATTTTTTTTTAAAGATTTTATAACTAGGACAAGTTAGGCATATAACATTTTCAGTAAATGAATATTTCAATTTCTCAGGGAAATAGAGCATAGATTTTAAACAATAGTAAAACAACATCAACTAAACATAAACAAGTAAAATTGTAAAAAATGCAAAAAACAGTTAATAATCTAACTGAGGCTACTACGTATGCTAATGAATCTGGTTTGGTATAAATAAAATAGTTCCCAACTAATCTTTTTCGTTAGAACTTTGTTTTATAACTTCGAAGGAAGGCTTACCAAAATATCAGGATTCAGATTCCATTCGTCACCAGTGATTAAGCTTAAATTAAAACAAATTTGATTTTCTTTTTCTTTTTCGACAACAAAACAGTTTGTTGTACATTGTAACGTTGTTCTCCCTTTCATTCCAAGGATAAATATAGGAGTAGTTCACATCACTATATTATAATGTTTAAGAAGAGGAATAATGATCAAATTTGAGATACTTTATGAATGGTATTATTTACAAAAATGAACTAATGCAAGTTACTTCAATAAAGTCCAGTAGAAGATATTGTCGGATTTTAGGTTGCCGGCTGAACTTCGAAACGTACCCCAGGAATAGATGTCCTTGGCTGTATTTGGCAAAACCTTTATGAATTTGGGGTCCTCACTGGTCTTCAAGTTCGTACTTGATTTGGCTTTTTTTTTTAACTTCTTTTAATCGAGATTCACTGATTAGTCTTTTGTAGACGAAACACACGTCTGGAGCGCAACATTATGAGCCTGGTATCTTTGATACGTTATATATATATATATATATTTGTTACAGGCATTTTCTAAATTTAGGCATTTTGTAAAATATATCGACTAATTTTTCTAGGCATTTAAAAAATGCCTAAAATTATTTATAGAATGAAATGTTAAAACACAAACTGAACAATTGAAACTTTTGAACAACAGAGCAGTTTTATTTTTGATAATTACTGAATGTTTAAGCTTTTACTAATCAAAAATAAATTCTACTGAATTATTTTAGATTCACACAAGCACATAACTCGACTATTTGTTA